TTAGAGGAAGTAAAGAATATAGAAGAGCAACTGGCCGCCCAGACCGAACTCCCAGCTCAAATGCGAGTCATAGCCCGAAACGTTGCACGCCTGGCACGAATTCAGGCGGAGCAATATGATTTTAGTAGGACTCAACACATAGCTGTGCGTTCCATAAAGTTGGGGTTTCGGGACTTTGCGCATGAGCTGGTAGGCGCTATAGGGACCGAGGTGGGCCACCGCCTCGACAAGACTGAGCGGTTCTGTGTCGGCGCCATTGAGGGCGTCAAAGCGGCAGCTCCCAAGGAGGAGGAAGCACGTCCTCCTCGTCGAGAACCGGTCAAAGTTAAATTCCCTGATTCCTACAGTGGAAAAAGGGAGGAGAACTTCGACAATTGGGAGGCCAATGTCAAGACCTATGTGCATCTGCAACAGGTCTCCCCGGATCAGCAGGTTCTGATTGCGATTCACGCGCTCAGAGATGAAGCCGCCAGCTTTGCAAGGTCCCTAGTTCACGCTGCCAATTGCAGCGATGATCCCGTTGCGTACTCCTCGTTCGCTTCCCTCACTGAGTTCTTGAAGCTGTTGCGTGAGAGGTTCGCTGATGTCGCCTGTAGCGTTAAAGCCTCAGACAGGCTGCAAACGATCCACGCTCGTAAGTGGAAGAGCGTCAGGGCACTTACAATGGACGGCCTGGTAGCTGTCCCTGACCACGGGGTTACAGACACCCAGTTGGTTGGCCTCTTTTATCGAGCTATACCCGAAGCCCTTCGAGGGCATGTCTTCCCATAGAGCGAAGACCCTGCCACTACATACGATTCCCTTAGTCGCGAAGTAGTGGCTTTTGAAGCCAAGTCTGCGTCTGTGTCCACTTTCTGGCAGAAGGACTTGGACAAGGGTAAGCAATGGAAGGGCCGCACTATCTCAGGGCAAGTAAAGACCAAGGATAGCCTTGTCCTGACCTTAGATGAGGGTAGTGTGGATGAGATCCCCTACGATCAGACTGAGTGGGGGTTAGAGGAGGAGGACAGCGGTGTGGGCCAGGGGAGATCTTACGCTGCCTTCGCGGCTGGAGGGAGGCCGCAAGGAGGAAGAGCCAGGGCCAAGGGGGCCGGGCCTCAGGGAGTCGATTTCAGGGCGATCAGGGGGTTGGCGGCAGAGGAGGAAACCGCCAAGTGGGAGGCAGGGGTCAAGGTCCCCCGCGAAACCGTCCTAGGAATAGGTCTCCCTATAGGGTAGGAGGATGGCACCTGGGGCAACCGCAGGGTAGGCTTGGCAATCTTTGGGTCTGGACCAGGCTTTATGGCAACAACAATTGGACCGGGGCCAGTGCATTTTCTGCGGTGACCCAGGCCACATCATCAAATATTGTCCTAAGTACAGAGAGACCCGAACGGCTGCCCAAGAGCCAAAAGGCAGCCGCCGGTAGGGGTAGCAATTGCCCCTACCATTAGGCCTTGTGGGGAACATAGCGCTAGCCGACAGGAGACTCCCACACCACATGTGCCTRTGGCAGAGGTTGCAGGCCGGTGTCTAGACAGCTGTCCCGAAACTGCTTGTGTTAGACTTTCGCTAGACACCTCCCTCACATGCGTGGCCGGAGAATTGAAGGAGAGGATGCCCGGCTGGACCAAGATTAAGAAGGAGAATAAAGGGCAGCTTATATTGTTAGATACAGAGGTTTTTAGAAGTAGAGTAGGGGCCCTAGTAGATTCAGGGGCCACCCGCAGCTATATTAGTAGGAAAGCGCTGCAGAAGTTGAAGCTGGGACTTAAAGTCCAAAAGCTAGCAGACCCCATAGTTAGTATCCTCGCAGACAATCGTACTATGGTTGTAGAGGAGTCCGTAGAGGGAGTCCAGGCGTATTTTCGCCTAGAGAAGAATGGGAAAGTGGAGAAGGTCCTCCACTCCCTAACTCTCCTCGTAGAAGACAGCCTCCCATTCGATATTGTCCTGGGAATGAATTGGGGAGAGGCAGTCGGGGCCACGCTCCATTTGAAGGAGCATGAGTGTAGGCTCCCTAGTTCGTCAGGCGAGGCCAAGACTGCCCGTCTGTTCCATGTGTCAGGAGTAGAGAATCCCTTGGCGCATTGCTGCCATAGTGTCCCCGCGTTTGCCAGATTGGTGAAAAAGGAGAAACTAGAGGAACAGGTTTTTGTTGCCTATGTCAGGCCAGCGACTGAGCCTACGGAAGAGAAGCTGATGGACCCTGAAATTGCCAAGCTGCTGGAAGAGTTTAAGGATTTGACTGAGCCGCCGACAGGCACTGTGCCGCGGCCCATCCAGCACCGTATTGAGATAGAGCCTGGCAGTAGAACTCCTAAGGGTGCACTGTATAGGATGTCCCCGCGGGAGTTAGAGTAGCTTCGCAAGCAATTGGACAAGCTCCTCGAGAAGGGTTGGATTAGGCCCAGTTCGTCTCCTTTCGGAGCACCTGTCCTCTTTGTTCCTAAGAAAGAGGGAGAGTTGAGAATGTGTATAGACTATAGGGGTCTGAATGCGATTACAGTGAAGAATGTTGAGCCACTGCCTAGGATAGACGATCTTTTAGATCGAGTGCAGGGGGCCAAGTATTTTTTTAAGATATATTTGAAGTCCGGATATCATCAGATAGAGGTACATCCTGATGATCAGTATAAGACAACTTTCTGGACTAGGTACGGGCATTATGAGTTCATAGTAATGCCCTTCGGACTAACCAATGCGCCAGCTACGTTCCAGCGCTGTATGAACGATTTGTTCAAGCCGTGGTTAGATAGATTTGTTGTAGTTTATCTAGATGACATCCTAGTGTTTAGCCGGACCCCTGAAGAGCATCAGGGTCATCTCAGGCAAGTCTTGGAGAAGTTGAGAGAAGCTAACTTCAAGATCAATGCAAATAAGTGCGATTGGGCGAAGACCCAAGTTCTGTACCTAGGCCACGTCTTAGACGAAGACGGCGTTAAGCCAGAAGATAGCAAGATCGCAGCGATTAGAGATTGGCCCACGCCACGTTCGCTGACAGAGTTGCGCTCGTTCCTGGGCTTAGCGAATTACTATAGGAAGTTCGTGAGGAACTTTTCCACCATCGTTGCGCCCCTTCGCAGATTGCTAAGAAAAGAGACAATCTGGAAGTGGGACAAGGACTGCACATCTGCCATGAAGAAGCTAAAGCAGGCGTTGATAGAGTATCCGGTCCTTAAGGTCGCCGATCCGTCCTTGCCTTTTGTCGTTACTACGGATGTTAGCCAGTACGGCATAGGCGCAGTGTTACGGCAAGACGATGGCAATGGCTATAGACCCGTAGAGTTCATGTCCGCTAGGATGCCTTCAGAGAAGGTTGCGACATCTACCTATAAGAGGGAACTCTATGCTCTCAGGCAAGCATTAGACCACTGGAAGCACTACTTGCTTGGGGGGCACTTCAAAGTCTATTCGAACCATGAAACGTTACGATGGTTAAAGACCCAGGCCAAGATGACACCTAAGCTTACTAGGTGGGCCGCAGAGATAGATCAGTACGACTTCGAGCTCAAGCCTGTCAAAGGGAAGTACAACGTAGTCGCGGATGCTCTGAGTAGGAGAGCAGATTACTTTGGGGCAATAGTAMATTACCTCGATATAGGAAAGGATCTRCAGCARAAGGTTAGAGAAGCCTACGCGCAGGACCCTATCTATAGTGAGCTCCTCACTCGAGTCAAGGAGGCCCCAGAGACCGAGCCGAACTACCGCACTACTGAAGGGTTTCTTTTTGAGAAGACTAATGTTTTTGACCGGTTGTGCATCCCCAACAGCGAAGAGATCCGTAGTCTGATTTTGGGGGAATGTCACGACACAGAGGGTCATTTCGGTTGGCAAAAGACTTTGGCCAATCTGATGCGCGCGTATACCTGGCCAGGGATGAAGAATGACTGCGTAGAGTATGTTCGCAGTTGCAAAGTCTGCCAGCGTAATAAGAGTTTTACGCGCGCCCCGCTAGGTCTTCTCAGACCCTTGCCCATTCCGGATCAGCCGGGAGACTCAGTGTCAATAGATTTCATGGACACTCAAGTCAAGAGCAGGCATGGCAAGAGCCAAGTCATGGTCATAGTTGACCGCTTTAGCAAGTACGCAGTTTTTGTTCCTTTGCCTTCTAAGGCGCGTACTGATTTAGTCGTACAGAGGTTCTTTGACTATTGGGTTAGTGAGAATGGAATCCCACTATCTACAGTTAGCCATAGAGATAGTCGCTTTACTAGCCAGAATTGGCAAGAACTCATGGGAGTATACGGATCTAAATTGTTGATGTCGTCCGGCCGCCATCCAGAGACTAACGGTCAGACAGAGCAAATGAACAAGATCCTACAGCAAGTTCTGCGCATGTATATTAGGCCAGATCAGATTAACTGGGATGAGATGTTGCCTAAAGTAGCTAGTGCATACAATAATAGCGTGCATCTAGCCACCTGCCGTACTCCCAACGAACTGCACAAGTCCTTTAGACCGCGCAGACCGTTTGAGGGACTCAACCGGGATCAGATTCAGAGATTGTCGCCCGGGACCAGGGAGTTTGCTGTGCAGCACGAGAAAGAACTAGCTACTGTCGTAGAGAACCTCAGAAAAGCCCAGCATAGGATGATAGAGCAAGCGAACAAACATCGTCGCCCTTCACAGTTTCAAGTAGGCGACTTAGGCTGGGTTAGTTCTAAAGAGTTTGCGCCGGAGGAGAACATCTCGCAGAAGTTACTGCCCACATATAGAGGACCGTGGCCTGTTCTGGAAGTCAAGGGCGGCGAAGATGGACCGTCCTATACAATAGAACTACCAGCACACCTCCACACGTATCCAGTTTTCCACGCATCGAAGTTGCTACCTTGTCAAACAAGCGATCAGTTTCCATCCCGTAGATCGATGATCCCACCTGATATGGATGGAAGATACGACATAGATGGTATAGTGGCTGAAGATGTCTTCAGAACTGGAGGTAGGGGTCGTCCGCAGAAACAATACAAGGTTCATTTTAGTTATCAGGAACGGGAAGATATGACATTGATGGTATAGTGGCTGAAGATGTCTTCAGAACTGGAGGTAGGGGTCGTCCGCAGAAACAATACAAGGTTCATTTTAGTTATCAGGAACCAGAAGACGACCGCTGGTTTACAAGATCTGAACTTCTAGAGACAGCTCCCGATATAGTCCGGGCTTACGAAAGACAGCAGAAGGGTAAAGCTCCTGCCTTGGACTGAAATTTTCTCGGAGGACCTCGAATTTAGGCCGGCGGGAGTGAAACGGTATTCACCAGTTCGCAGTAACGAATGCAGATCCCAGGGCTCGATCCCTAGTTCCCCATCTTACCTGTGTACAGTATTGATGTTAACCCGTAGATTTGAGCCTGCGACCTGTCGAAACGCCAGTGGTAGGTAGATTGTTGTAGGTCACAACTTAGAAGGGAATAGAACTGTAAACTTGTAGGGTAGGAGTCTAGACAGTTCCGAAGTCGTAGTTGTAGGATGCCTGAAAGGTCAAGGTCGTAGCTGCTACTTACCTGAAGGGGCAAAGTCGTAGCTGCTACAACACCGAAAGGCCAAGTCAGAAGTTTCTAGAAGTGGCCTTTCGGAGTTAGCCTGCATACAACAGAGGCAAGTGGTCAAGTGGTGTTAGACCACCTTGCTGAGTCAACAGTCCCAGCTAGTCAGTCCGGTCCTGTCCAGCAAGTACCGTCTGGGACTGTGTGCACATCGTGGGCCAAGGGATACAGGGCAGACCAACGCAGCACAGAAGTATAAATCAAGAGGCTGCGTCCAGCCATTCACTCATTCCTGCGGATGCCATGCGGAAGCGCTGCCTCAGCAGCTTGTGCGAGGAGGTCTGCAGTGCGCCCGAAGACGAAGAGGGCAGTGAAGTGTAGTGTAGCGATGGGGTAGCGGCAGCCATAGCTGCCATAGCTATAGTAGTGTGTGTGTGTGTTGCGTGGGGTTACAGAGTGTTGCGTGTGGGACATCCAGGGTGATCTCGAGTGTGAACAGTGAGTTGTATGGGCGCACAGTCACCATAGCCAGTTGGAAGAGAACTCATATCTGGTTACGATATCTTCGAGTACTATGTGGGCGCATGTCGCCAGTTTGCTGTATCGCTGTTTGCAAGCATGATGAAGTGTGAACAAGTCGAGTCTGATTGCAATATATATATATATATATATATATATATATCGTCAAATAGAACTGCCCGGTAAACGGTAGGCAGAGAGGGAGAAGAGGACAACAAACGAGGGGCTGTGACAAACTGTTTCGTCGGAGTTTCACGGACTCATCAGGAGGCTGTAAATATATATTTTTTTTTGCTTAATATTTGCGGGTCGGGGTGAATCTCGATAAAATGGCAGTTCAACGCTGTTTTTTTACCACGTTTTCAACGCAGGACCAGCGTTGAATCCATTTCCAGACACCCAGTAGGACTCTGACCCATTCCCTGAACTTGGGGCCCACTCCCATCCTGTCCATGCAGCCGTGAAGAAAGTCCCAGTTGACCTGGTCATAGGCTTTCTAAGAGTCGAAGACGAGAATTGCAGCCTTCATGCGCTTTTCTTTAATCTTTTTTGCTGCCTTGTTCAAGGGCATTACGTTGTCAAGTATGTAATGCCCTGGGATGAAGCCTGCTCGGTCAATGTGAACGCATTTGTCTGTGAGGCTTACGATTATCTTTGCCGTAGGCTTTCTAAAAGTCGAAAACGAGAATTGGAGCCTTTATGCGCTTTTCTTTAATCTTTTTTGCTGCCTTGTTCAAGGGCATTACGTTGTCAAGTCTGTAATGCCCTGGAATGAAGCCTGCTCGGTCAATGTGAACGCATTTGTCTGTGAGGCTTATGACTATCTTTGCCAACTCTTTAGCGAGGATTTTGTATGGGGTTGTGAGTAGGGAGATAGGCCTGTAGTTCTTTAAGTCCTCTCTATGCCCTTTTTTGTGGAGTAGCAAAACTACGCTTGCCATTAGGAATTGGCCTAGACCACCCTTGCCCCTGCTGATGTTGAAGAAGTTAAAACATCAGTACTTGGCCCATACATCGGACGCAGGCCTTACCTGTTAACGTGCCGCAACTTTCGCAGGTCGGGGAAGGCCCGGTAGTGCGATGGAGGCAGAAGCTGTAGGGCCCAAGCAAAATTGCAAATGGACTGCACGCTGTCCACTTGGTTTATACCGTGCATGTGGAAACACATGCACGGATGCAGCATAGGCCAGAAAAGGAAAAGAAAACAAACGAAAACGAGAGAAGTGCTGGAAAACAAAAACAAACAAAGCTGTACCCGCCACTTGGCGGGCAAAAGAAGTGAGAAAACACCTTTCAGTGTTGCCAGAGCCCCGCCTATGACAGCTGGCAAGTGGACAGATAAAGGGCCTCACTCCACCATTCCCCACCAATAACGACTGCTAAGCAATGAAAATGTATCTTTCTATGTTCCAGAGGAGGATTCAGTCTCACTGTGCACATTTGGAGAGTTTCCCCAACTCCAAAATGAGCCTGAATCCTCTGCTAGAACATGGAAAGATACATGTGGGGAGTGATGAAGAGAGGCCCAACAAGCTCTTCCTTCTGCCCGCTGTGAGAGGTGGGCCTCCAACTGAGCAGAGGGCCTTTGTATCGTTTTTGCCTTTTTTTTTTCTTTTCTTGCTTCCGGAAGAAGATTGTTGGTGCTCCCCGTGAAGACAAAAAATATGGTGGTGCACCTTTCCATGTTCCAGAGGAGGATTCAGTCTCACTTTGCATGTTTGGAGAGTTGCCATCGCTCCACTGTTGTGAAACAAACGATAAAAATAAACGAGGCAAACATTTACAGCACACAGAAACCATTCATTTTTATCATTCTTCTGAGTGTTGCATAGACGGTCGGCGGCCCTTGACTGGGCGGCTGCCGATCCACCGACCGGTCGGCTGGTCGGCACCTACTGGTCGGGGGTCGTCGGCAACCCGCAAAAAGAAAAAAAAAAAAAAAAAAGGGTCCTGAACCCCTAATAACCCCACCAACACCCCCATAGTGGTCCCCAATACCCCCATACACCCCCCCAACACCCCCAAACCGCCCCCAATACCCCCCCAATACCCCCCCCCCTCCCAAGAAGTTTCTCAGCGGATTTGGGCTGTACTCAGCGAGTGCAGTACGGCCCCCAACTCAGATTTGAAAAAAAATCAGTGGATGGTTGTTTTCTGACTGGTCAGTCCTACTGGTCAGCTGCAATATGGTCGGTGGTCGGGGTCTGCGGTCGGCAGGTATGCAACCCTGATTCTTCTTATATATCGTCATTTGTATTTGCAAGTTCGTTATATATATATTTTTATATCTATCTATAGTATTCTATATTTTTACATGAAGGGCGCACTGAAACCATTCATTTTTATCATTCTTCTTTGTATATATCTGTATTTGCCTAGGCTGGTCCCCGGGCCGCCCGGCAGCCTGGCCGTCGCCCCGGGGGGGTGCTGGGCCGCCTGGCTGGTTGTCGCGCCCAGTTGGCCACCGGGCGCCCCCAGCGCATCACTGTAGGACCGTGTAGGTTAGTGTTTTTTTTTTTTTTTCGGCGCTGGGGCCCTTTTTGCCCCCTTCATAGACTGTGTGGACCACGAAAAAAAAAAAACACGGGGCCGGTAGGCCCGATTTCACCGATTTGAAATCGGGCCCCATCTGGATCGTCGATCTCGAAGATCGACAGCCCAGATTGCACCGATTTCAAATCGGTGAGGACGGGAACTGGCCCCCGTTCCCTCCCCTGTGCTGAAGATGTGTCCCCGACATCCCCCCTTCCCTGCCTTGCAGCACTGTGTGTCCGCCGGCCTTTGACGCGCAACTTCAACGCGCTTCTTCGACGCACCCCGTCAGCACCTGCCAACGCCTGCCTTTGGACCTTCCCCCGTGGCGGCCATTTCGCCCAACTTCGTCTAGCCCAATCTTTCTTCCCGCCATACTCCACCTTTCTTCTTCTTCTTCTTCGTCTTCTTGTTCTTGTTCTTCTTCTTCTTCTTCCTCCTCCTCCTCCTCCTCCTCCTCCTCCTCCTCTTCTTCTTCTTCTTCCACATACACACCTGCAAGGTCTGTGACATACCAGCACTGACATCCCCCAGACCCCCCGCTGACATCCCTCCCTCAGCACACTCCCCCCACCCACCCTCCCCCCACAACCCCCAACTTAACTTTTTTATTGCAGATTTGGGGTCCTCTAGGGTAGCGCAGCACAGCCCCACCTTCAAAAAAACAAAAACAAAAATCCTTGCTGTGTTTTTGCGTCGCCCGGTTTCGCCGGGCAGACCCCCCCGGGCCCAACTGGCCGGGAGGCGGCCCAGCCTAGGTATTTGCATATTTGTTATATGTATATCGTCAAACAGAGCTGCCCGGTAAACCGTAGGCAGAGAAGGAGAAGAGGACAACAAACAAGGGGCTGTGACAAACTGTTTCGTCGGAGTTTCACCGGCTCATCAGGTTAAATATTATATAAGGGCGATAGCCTTAGAGTATTATCGTCGGACTAACCAGCCCAGGTAAATTCAATCATGTTTCTAATCTGATACCGGGCAGCCTTTTCAGCCCAGGGTGGCCTTATTGCCATCAGGGAACCCCCAGTGGGCGACACCGGCCAGGGTACAGCCAGTAGCAGAGGGACCGAGCATCATCTGAGTCACTGACCCCCAGTGGGCGACACCGGCCAGGGTACAGCCAGTAGCAGAGGGACCGAGCATCATCTGAATGGCCAGTCGCTGTGCCTCCCTGATTACCCCTCCCCCCATGAGCATCAGCAGAGACTGCTTTTTAATGCCAATTGAGGAGACCAACAAGCTATCAGCAGGTGACGGGCGCCAAGCATGCCCAAGAAAGTACACGAGGCCAATGGGGATTGAACCCATGACCTCCTGAATGCCACTTGCGTCCTTACCAACTGAGCTAGGCCGCTGGATATCTATATTTATTTATAATCTATGTGCATACTTAATTTACATATGTTGAGTCCCTCGTTTGTTGTCCTCTTCTCCCTCTCTGCCTATGGTTCACCAGGCAGTTCTCTATGACGATATATATAAATTTCATAGTATTAAAATGTACACGACTCCACATAAAAAGTATAATTGTGACAGACTCTTTTGTCATACTTTCACCAACTCATCAGGAAGTTGAACCCTGCCAGTATGCCCAGGATGCATTTGACTGATGGATAAGGACTGGCCACGTTGCCCAGAGTTAGCGATCTCCCTGAGAAAAGTGGTGAACTTTGATCTCACCAACCCTGCCGTCCTGGCAGACTGCCGGTCCAAACCCCTGACAATCACGGCAGTAAGTAGGAGAAACTAGTCTTTCATGTGTGCATGTTGTCTTTATCAGATACACAACACAAAGAAAGTATGACTGTGCCAGACTGTTTCGTCAGACTTTCATCCACCCCTCAGGATACTTCGTATTTGTGTGTGTGCGAGAGAGAGTGTGTGAGTGTGTGTGTTTTTGTGTGTTTGTGTGTGCTGTAGGCTGCTACCACAATGTGTGTGTGCGTGTGTGGAGGGGTGAAGGCGGGAATGGAGTCAGAGCGCATGATGACGAGGACAGTGACTGGAATGAGGCATTCAATTCTTGGATTGGCCTCGTTTCCCCCAAACTACACATGCCCAAACAGCAAAAGAAAGAAAAAAAAAAGAAAAAAAAAAAAGCTAAAATAGTAAAAAAACTATAAAATGCTGACACCCGGTCTGGTCAACCACAGCGTGCCAGAAAAATGCAAGAATCATTTTTGAGGGGGTTGGTCACAACCCAAGGAAGGGTCCTGGCCGACCTTTTCTCTTTGTCCGATTTTAGCGCCTATCCGAAAGTGCTGGACCAGACGTCCAGTCAACTTCCGGCGAAGACTGGCCAAATGGCGACCTAGAGATCCGGATTGTAACCATTACGAAAAGTTTAAAACCTAATTAGACGTACGGAAAAGTTGAAAACAAGTCTGGAACTTACAAAAGTTCGAGCGATGTGAAGTTCCCGATCTCTGGTGGGAGCTCTCCCGTCAGATTGTTGATCCCTAGATCCCTGCTCCATTGTTCCATCATCCCAAAAAACAAAGATTTGACCACACAAGGTAAATGTTAGCAAGTGCACAATTGGTCTGTCCCGGGCCTGAAATTGCCCTGCGAATCACAAAACAACGAACAGACACAGATGTACCCAGCCACTGCCACCAGCCATTTCGTGGTGGGCCTGCACTTCCATGTTAACTGCCACACTATTGTTTTTCAATCGGGAAAAGGTACTGGTGGTTTAAGGTTATCCATGCTGTCTTTGTACAGGAAAGAATTGGGAGACCTGCCAATATCGTAAGAATGGTAAGGAAAGAAAGAGCTCGTTATTCACAGATACAGAAGGCACTCCTTTCATCTTCCCATTTCTCCTATCCATGTCCATTGTGGAGAGTATCCGGTCCCTTTTCGTCTGGAAGATGAATGAGAAGTACATAGAATAACACACTCAATCCTTCCTTCCATCACAGCCAAAGGGAGCCTGACCAGCATTGACTGATCCCTGGAGGTGGAAGATTGACTCATGCATACGGGGAGTGAACCGTTTGCAACGCAAGTCCAAGGATCACCAATATAAGGAAGAGATACAATCTGACGGCGGAAGACTCAAATCAGATAGGTAAGTCTGACAATGCAGCAAATGACAATGTCGCTCAGGCCAGGGGTCAGATCAAGCGGAAATCATACACACACACAAAGGTGGAGGAGAATGGACGGAAGAAGAAGAAGACCCAATGGAATTTTACAAAATGATTTTAAAAGGGTTATTGCTTATTCTACTTGTAGCTCCCACCGCGCCTCAATTTTCAATTCCCATTAGCTAAAAAAAAAAAGAAAAAAAAAAGGGGTTCAGTCCCTTATGAAACTTAACTCTAAATTGTCTATACCATGCTGTGTCCCCTATATTTGTTTCCAACCCTGCGGCGAGCCTCCAGCGGAAGATACATCAAACAAACCAGTTGGATCTCACAGGTATCACCCGCTAAAACCAAACAAGTAAAAATTTCGACTTTCAATTTCGGACCTCAACACCCAGCTGCTCATGGTGTTTTAAGATTAGTTTTGGAAATGAATGGAGAAGTGCTGGAACGGGCAAGCCGCGCTCGCAAGAGCGTTTTACCAAGAGCAATCCGGTTCCAGCAATTCGGCGGAGATGTCCAAATTGCTGTGTCACGTTGTCTGTTCTGCGTCTGGTGGTGTGTGGGCACATTGTCGGTTCTGAGTCCAGAAGTGGGGTCATTTTGTCTGTTCATAGCCAGGATCATTTGTCTGTTCTCAGCCAGGATCACGTTGCTGGGCCTGGATTTTGTGCCAGGCGGTTTTCTTCGGACAGGGCCTTAATTTCCAGGCAAACACTTGTAGAATCATCAGTGTGGTTGGGCCTGCAGCAGAGCCTGAGACCCAGGCCACACGTTTTGGGGCCTGGGCCTGGGATTTTCATGAGACCTTCCATCTGGACCACCGGACCCTTGAGGAGATCGGACGGCCTTGGCAAAATGGTCTAGGCGGCCAAGGGCCACCCCTAGGACATGTCCGGGCTCATAGCCCGGTGTAGGAGGCCCTAGGCATACCAAATGATTGACAAAGAGTGAGGCGTAGGCAATCAGCCATTGTAGACTCTGGGTTTTGTTTGTTTCATTGCCCAGTTTTTCGCCCATGGAATGTAGACCTTATTGTCTGGGTGCAGGTTTCAAATTCTCTTCCACCTCCTGCTGATCTCTGGGCTTGAGTCATCAGTTTTGAGCCATAGGTCGTACCGGCTTCATATACTTCAAGGAAGCTTCTCGGTCCACAGCCATTCCCCCAGATCAAATTCAATTCTGCGATGGTCTGGCATGGATGGAAGACTAACAAGGGTTTGCGGGTGGACAGTCTGACTTCCATCGTCAGCTTCCAGATTTAAGTTAGGGATTCCAGTTCTTGGTTCAGCTGGTTTGAAACCGGCAAAGGGACGAATCCCGTTCTGTAACTATTTGATGTTAGCCTTCTTTCAAAACGATAGTCCGCCTATTCCGGGTGGGGTTGAAAGATGAGGAGACCCAGTAACCCGCTTCCCACATGTCCTCTCTCAGTCGCTCGGTCCAGGATTGGGGAATGCTTTTCTGTGGCTATGAGATTGTCCGCTAAAAAGTGGCACCCTCTTAGGGAGGTTCCCATTTCTTGATGTATTCCCCAGTACACTTGGGCTCACCGCTGCGGAAGTTTCCTCCCGACCTGGTAGATTACCGGTTAGAGGCCTGGATGTTCTGGGTGGGCATCCGGAGTGTGGTGTTTGGATTCGCAAGTGTGTGAGCCTGTCCTGTGCGGCCAAACCACCATAGCTGCATCATCTACACTTCGTGTCGTGTGTGCGGTACTTGGTGACTGTCATTCTGAAATTGGTTAACTGTGCCGATTCATCGAAGCAGCCAAACTTGATTCTCATGCGTTGGGTGTGACTTCCCTATCTGCACACACATATGGACATGGATAATAATTTTAATAAATGAGTGAGAATTTCCTTACAAATGTTGCTATTCTCCTTTTGCCATCCGTCCACAAACTTGTGTTGGAGGCTGGTCTTCCTTTTGCCGCTATCAATGTTGCTTTCAAATGGCTTCTTACTTCATCTCCATCCTGTCCCTGGCATATCTCCATGTCTTTGCGCATCTTGACTTCCATTTTTTTTGTGAGGATATTCTTTTCCTTCACAACAGCTGTGTAACATTCAGCCACATGGACTGGGATCCTCGGCTTGTCAATTGCTGCTCATACAGTGAGGTCGTCAGGACGGCAAGGGCCATTTGCGAGACTGCCTTAAACCACGAGTACACAGCCATACATCAGCCGCGAGCCCCTCACCGCGAGTTCCAGAGGCCAGAAACGTGACGCCAGACATTGATGAAATCTATCAACGATGCGCCGGCCCTGAAACTTCTGGAGTAGGCGACAACGAGTTTTGCTTCTGCAGGGCTGGGGGCATGTACTTGCGGTTTAGACCATGTTTGTCATCAATCTCAAATTAAAATGCATATGGCAAATGTGGAAACTGACACATTGAAGACTTTGTGAAGTTGATTGAGCGTCGAGCTCAATATGGTGGTTGTCACAGTTTGTGTGAAACAAGTACCTAAGGAATCTTCGCAATACTAGAGGTCTGCAAGGCCCTTTTGGCATGTGTTGGCATTTGCAACTCTTCCTGATCATGTTCGATGTAGCACCAGGCTCTTCCATTCTAGTGATGTTTTTTCACGATTAATAACCGTCGAGCAGGATGCTTCATGAGGATTGCTGTCAAATGATGAAACAATGCATTGTCGGCCAAGAACCTACATGTCTATGTTGAGGACGAGAGATTCCATAATATCTAAATCCAGTCATTATGCACTGATATGCCTCAGTTCTCTGATGATTGTGGGCATTTCCTAATGCTTCCCTCTTCTTTTTTATTTTCACATTCAATTCTCTGCAAAACGTTTGATCAGGTATATGGATCCTCACAATTCTTGGAGATTCGGCAACTCCGTGAGGTAAATAGGAAACTTTTGGGCAATTGAATTCCATGACAAATCCCTGCAGAAATCCACCGACGACCACAAGTTTGAGCAGTTAGACTACAGACGACATACCCGGTTTAATTCAGCAAAAAACTAAGACTGAAAAAAACAAGATGACATTCTACCATCACCTCACTTGCTGTAGAGAGTTTCGAGTGGAGAAGTCTTATGAACCAATTCAGAGATGGGTGACCTCGCCCCGCATTCAGAAAGCAATTGAATGATTAGACTTTAAACAATCTGCAATGAGATATCGGCAATTATCCATGTGAAACTGCATACATGCCGACACATGAATTAGCCCACCAAAGGCTCAACTCAACAGAACGTCAGATAAGAGTGATCTCTGAACCAAAGAAACTAAAATATGGAATTCCCATGAAAAGTCCAAAAGGGCCCCTTCCGGCCAACTAACTGGATCCCCCTTGCTTACTCCGACTCCCACCCTCCCAGACTCCTTGCCTGATGATGCCCATAGACACGAGTGGTTAACGGGGAGCCCCACTTTTCAGCTCTTGGGCAATGGGTCCAAAACTGAAATTAGGGTTGGGGGCTCACATTTTCTTTATTTGTTCTTTTATTCAGCCCCTGTTTTTGTTGTGGTTCAAGGTTGCTGTTTACCAAAGCCGTTGGACCATTGAAAATTCCTCCGTTAACATTTCTGAAATTTCCTAGGTGGTACCGGGCCGCCCGGGTCACCCTACTTTCCCGGGCGGCACGGCCGTGCAAGGACCACGGAAGGTCCCAGAAAAAAGAAAAGAAAAAGAAAAAAAATTGCAGACAAATAAATTAAACAACTTTTGCCTCAGGGTCACGTCGAAATTCTTTACCAAATTTAAAATTAAAATTAAAAGTTTTCTTTCTGTTTTTTTTTTTTTTTTTTTTTTTGGCCCGGTCAGGCAAGTGGTCCTGGGCCACTCTGGAAGCCTAGGAAATTTCTGAAAATTTTCTGAAAATTTTCTGAAATTAGAATGTCGGTGAGATTTGCATGAAAGCGCGTTTTTCTCTTCACACTGAACACACACTATGGCCCTTCTAGCAATATCTGGCCCAGAATTGCCGAGTCCTCAATGCACAGACTGCCAACCAAACTCCAGTACTACATGCCAGGGCAATGTCTTGTACGCCAGACACCACCACCACTGTGGCATTGCAGACACTGCAGATCCTCACAAGGGATGCTTGAAGTTTCCACAATAGTCGGCAAGAAAAAATGCTCAAGGAACCCTAGTGCAGGAGAGGACAAGCTAGGTGTGCCTTGGTGCACAGGTGTTAATGACATCACTATAAATTTTAAGACTTCCATCTTACAAAAAGAGACTGACACGAGGGGTGACCTCATCTCTGCCAGTGTGAATGGGAGTTGGTTGACTTGGAATCAAGGCCGAGGGGGGGAGTTTGTATTGCAATCATGGCGAGGGGGGAGGGGGGTAGGTTGTCTTGCAATCATGGCGAGAGAGAGAGAGAGAGAG